ACAGGACGTACCCTGTCCGTCTGTAGGGTTTTGGAGGCATAATCGTCCAAATGACGAGACTTTTTAGCGGCCTTACGCCCACTAGGGGCCACCGGCTTATTCTCTGGGGGGTTAGCCATGGGGTTAGCAGGTAATTGCGTGGCTCTCATCGCCGTAGTTATGGAATGGGATAAATTCTCTGACATGGCACCCATGGCCGTAACTATGGCCTGCGTCACAGACTTCGCCATAGCCGCGTCCAAGAGGGAATGCAATTCCTCAGAGTCCATATGCTCCTGCGCTGTGTCCAACGCAGCGGGCATTTTGGGGCCCTGTAGGAGAGGGGTGGGAATGGTGGCCCTAGATGTAGTGGCACTATAGGCACTGTGGTCAGCCTGCATAACTGGGATGGATGGCAGAATAATTATAGAGGCAAAGGCTGAGATATATAGCACAGGTAATACTTGACTAACTCCCAACAATAGTAAAATTACCAATTTATATATTAGTGCTCTGTTACCAGGCACCAGACACCAATGTGGGCAAGGCACAACAAAATTATGCAAAGCAAACAACAATTACAGCAAGCTCACCGAGTGTTCCCTCAGGAATAAGCTCCTGGGGAACACAGGGAGAGTCTGCCCAGCGACAGGGATAAGTTCCCGCCCCCAAAGCACTGTATTGGCCGCGCTAGCCAAAGCGCGGCAAATTTGCCCTTCCTCAAGATGGCCGCCGCGATGCGCACCTGCGTTGTGCGCATGCGCGGGCGACCGCGGATACCACGGGCCGCCGGGACCGCTACCGGCAGCGGTACCCGTGCTTGGGGGGGAGGACACCCCAAAGAGGAGAGGAGGCACACCACGGTCGGGAAATACACAACCCGACCGGAGGTAGGAGAGGGGAGGGCGGACAGGGGAAGGGAGAGAGGGCAAAACGATAATTAAAGGAGACAACCAACACACATATAAACCCTGAGGGGAAAAAAGAAAATCATTTAAAACAAATTATTGAAAAACTAGGCTAGTAACTGACAGCAACAGAGGAAGGATAAAAGTTGCTACTTATCTGAGGCTGCAGCAGCAAAAGAAAGAGGAGTGGCTTAGGGTCACATGGGACTTTATTGTAATAGGGACACTCTGATTGGTTCATATGTGGTATATGGTTAACCCTTGCAAGTTATGATGTATGTTATTGAAGTGTTTTTTCCCTTTTTTACAGTGAATATATATACTATATTTCTTTTGCTGCTGAAGAATAAAAGAAAGAGAGAAGCATAATAGGAGCCTCCGTGTCCTTTAATAAAATTAAAGTACTATCCACTGAACTTCCTGACCATTTTTCATGAAGTAAATCATGTGTGCTGCCCATATGTCTTTTGCTGAAACATGTCAATTAATTTCTAATATAACCATTTCTCAAAATGAGACTTTGAAATATCAGACGATTTGAATATCAGACTAATTCCACCTACCACAGAGGCCTCTGTCAAGCTATCACCACATTAAAGGATCCCTATAGGGTCAGGAACACAAACATATATTCCTGACCCTATAGTGCTGAACCCACCATTTAGGTGGCTTGCACTCTCTTAGCCCCCCTATAAAAGTTTAAAACTCACCTTATTTCCAGCGCCGCGCAGCTCCTATAGGGAAAGCATTGGATTGGCTAGAATCGGCACAGGGGCAGGGCCAAATGCTGTTTTGGCCAATCAGGACCTCCTCATAGAGATGCATTGAAACAATGCATCTCTATGAGGAAAATTCTGCATCTCCGTGCAGAGGGTGGGGACGCTGAACAGCAGAGCTGCTTACTGTGCAGCCCTAAGCCAGGAAAAACCCCTGTTGCCATCTAAGGAGTGGCCACTTGGAGGTGTCCCTAGGGGCAATGTAAAAACTGCCTTTTCACTGAAAAGGCAGTGTTTACATGAAAATGCCTGTAGGGAGCTATTATACTCACCAGAACAACTACATTAAGCTGTGGTTGTTCTGTTGACTATAGTGTCCCTTTAAACAAATGCCCTATTTAAAGGCTGTAAACTTCATTTGACTATTAACACAGTAAGTGAAAAACATATATTCAATCAATTAAGAAACAAATTGTGCATAAATACATACTTGTATATCATAATCAATATATAGTGCATCCATGGATTAATAGATAATCAAAAAATTTAACAATAAAAAAACTGAAAAATATAAAAAATAAAATAAAAAGAAGATAAACCTAAATATTCTTATTGCTCCATATCTTTAGATATCCCTCCAACAACCCATTGGAAACCAGAACTTATCACAGAAACTCCAAATATGGTCAAAATGTTGCACATTCAGTTTTCAATAATCTCCCTTTTTGAAGAAACCTTGAGTGCCTGGACATACTTTATACTAATATCTACTCAATTGAGTTTTGCCACCCCAGCCTTTGATGAACCTGGTTTTCACTGTGAGAGTGCGGTATCCTTTATCTTTGAATCAACACTGTAGGCACTATAAACATTTCATCTCAATGACTTTAATTATAGTGCCTAAAAAATCAACTGGCAATGTTGATCCATTCAGTATTAAGACATTAACAAGCAGTTTAGCACTAAATGAGGGTGACCGGCTTCCCACAATATATACGACTGGAGGCATGGCTAAAGCTGAGATTACACATTTTTCTTGTAGCCATATTAATTCATACCTGAATGTTTTAGATTGAAATCAGCTACCACTCTCAACCACCTATTGCTGTTCATGCTGTTTCCTCATTAGCCCAAGCAGCAAAGGGGGATGAGTTGATGGAAACTCTTGTACAACATTAAAAAGTTAAAACCGGTTTACCATTCAAAGCAAGGTTGCCACCAATAGACTCCTGACACTGTAGCCCCTTCAATGAGATGAAGCAGCTATAGTGCCTGCGGTCCATTGGCAGTCTATTGTATGCTGTCATATCAATCTGTTCTTTAAATCAACACTGCCATGTTTGTTTGTTTTTTCAGTTTTCCCTTCCATATGACTCTTGTAATACCCCCATTGCTACTTACCTTTATTTATTATCTTTTTCTTTCTTGTGCAAGAACTGAATACCTGGGTGCTTCCATTTTGTTCTCATCTGTCCATGAAATCTGCGGTTTGCCTTAAGTGGGATTATTTTGACTAATGGATTGTGGGTAAATTAGCTTACCAACTGAAATGGACCTTTGCTTTAATGACCACTCCATATCCATAAGGTACTTCAGCTAGCTAAAGGCTTTATGGATGAATATCCTATTAAAAAGTCAGAATCTGCATTTTTAGTAATAAAAATAGTAAACAAACAGCCAGGGAAGCTTGCTTTCTGCTTCTGTTAGCACCCCTGAACTAATGGAGGTGGCAGGCGCTCTAGTTGAGTGTGCCTGCCTCCCCCAGCATTCCTCCTTCTCAGAACTCCTTGTCAGACCAACATTCTTTCTAAACACTGTGCAGTGTGCACAAGGGATAGCATCAGAGACTCGTCGATGATAAAGCTCATGTTTCCCATGACGAAAGTGAAGTTTAAAAATAAAATCTGTACATTGACAGTGCTGCTTTAAGGATCCTATTCCGATATGGAATGTCTGGCAAAGGTAAATAGGTTCTGCTAGCATAACATCTTTAGGCAACTGCATTGCGACTTATTTCCCAACATTTTAAAAAGGAACCCTTGAATTTTAGGGGTGTGAGTGAAAGTGTGGCCTATTCTGACAAATTGTAGGTGACTTTCTAATGGAAATTTATGAAAATAAAATTCTATTTGGAACAAGAATGTATCTTTAAACAGACTGATTTCTAAACTAATTTCTTGTTATTTTAAGACCTATTACTGCGAGTATTATTGCCATGAAGCTCTGCACAAACCAACAATCTGGAGCTCCTATAAAAGAGGGACAGAGGGATTTCGACTCAAAATAAGGATTGTCCCTCCTATATAGGGACCTTTAGGAGGAATAGAATAAGGACTACATAGTGCAAGATTTGGTCCACAAAAGGGTTAAAATGTACATTTTCAATCATGAATTAATTTATATACACACATCCTCAGCACTATCACCTTTATTTTTACTTTATAATTTTGCCTATAAATCCACAGCTTCTATCCACCATTTATTTTTATGTCAGATCACAAAAAACTATATGAAAGGTATAATTATCCAAGTTAAGAGCCCAGCTATTAGTATTTTCGTGCAATGTTTCTGTAGAACCATTCATAATGAAAGATTTAATCACTGTTTTGTAGACATCTTCGGCATGTAAGTACTTGGATAATTACAGCTTTACAGATCGATCTAAATAACGGGCAATGCTATATAGCTTCACCGATTTTTTATTCATTTATTTTTTTACTCTCGTCAGCATTTATCTAGCAGCTTTCTTCTGATGATAGCACATATTCCACAATAACATCATGATATTGCTTTGTTGGGAGTAGTATTTGTTTATGCACTAAGCTCAGGGTTAATTTTGTTATTCCAAGCTGCTCAGTCGGTTTGTCATATGAATAAAAGCTATTCAAAATACCATCAGTTAAATACCATTTGATTCCACAGTTCACATCCTCATCTTCAAATTCATACGAAGAGCCCCTTACTTCTCACTCTGACCTAATATACACGTCTTCCCCTAGATTCTCTTCATTCCTATACTTTTTTTAATACTTTATTTGCTTATTTCTGACATTCCCATGGAATTCTGTCTTGTTCCGTTTAATTCTCTGCTGTGGTTTCAAACACATCTTGAAAACCTATTTACATAAGGAAGTAATTTTCTTGCAAGACCTAGAATCAATACACAACTTGTACTGATCCCTAAGTATTGATCACCCCAATTCTCATTTGTAAGCTGCCATGATAGGAGGCGTTTGATCATTTACTTTGTTTCTTTATATATGGCACATGGAGCTTGTATGTGCCATTTAAGAGAACTGTCAACTTTTATGTACTTTATAGATAGTGAACATCAAATATTTATTTGAAAATAAATCCTTTTTGAGAAATTATTTTTAACGTAGGTGTTGTAGAATTATTAGGCCTCTATAAATCTGTAAGGCCCCTTTAAATCCTCTTGCTATACCTCTAAGAGGCCCCCATAGTTTTATAAGAAAGCCTTGTCTATAGAACATAGAATTTGCATGCCAGCAAGAAACAGCTTTGATAAAATGTGTATTTACTAAAAGCCTTGAAACCTAACCTTGAGAAACTAACTAACTAAGTGCCAGCTACGCTCTAAATGGATAGCTGCCAAAAGGCCCCTCCCGTCGAGTGAGCTCCTCATGTTAGCAAAATGGCGCTAAAACCTGGAGGAGTTAAAAATGACGTGGATAGTGACCTAAGAATGGGGAGGGCATTTTACTAACATCTTAGCACCTAAGCCAATTAACAATGTCTATTTGTCTATATCTTGATTTTCTTCAATGATGTAATAATGCCTTTAAAAGGGTCTGCGCACCCATTTTCTGTCAGAAGCCATTAAACTTCTCCGAAGTTCTTTCATTACCCTGAACTTTGTGTCTCAGTGTGAATTTACTTCTGCGTGCACGCAACTTTATTATCTTTAATTTGGACAGGAACAGATAGTCATTCAAACTAATTGGTTTGCAGTAAATTATCTACTACATAGGCGTCATCTTTGACTCTGTCTGTCGCATCCACTTGTTCAATATCACTAGGATCCGTCCTCTCCTTATATTCTCTGCTGCTAAGCTGTCAATCTCTCATCTTCAACAAGCTAGAATTACTGCGCCTATCTCCTGCTTGGTCTTCATTCAGTCACCCACGCCAGCAAATTCGAAATGCTAATTCCACTCCTCTTATCAGAAAAAAAACTCCACTGGTTTTCTATTGTTCAGAGCTCTATTTTCAAATGCCACATCTTTGCGCTGAAGGAGCTCACCTCTCTGGTTTACCCACCTTATCTGCTCCCTCTAGCACATTCCTTAAACCACCCCCATACCTACGTGCTTCTTCTCGCTCCTATCCCCCCAAGAATGGACAAATCTTCCACCGACCTCAAATCCAGACAGCCAACTTATTATATCCTTTTGCAAACTTCTAAAAACACAAGTCTTTAACCAAACATTCTCTGGTACTCAATAACTCATTCCGTTGTTTGGCTCCTCTCAGTTCATCTGGTCTGATTCCTTCCCAACATCCCACTCTCCTTACCTGTGCATCTTTTATCCTGCGCCTTCCCTAACCTAGTCATAACCCAATCAGTTTCCCTAAGATGTTTTATGTCCCATTGCTCTTTTTGTAAGTTAATTTACTGTCTAACATAATTTATACTGTTTAAATATTAGTATTGACTCATTGACTGTATCAAAATGCTATTTTCACTCATATAATTTAATTTTTTTGAAGCGCTATACTTAAATATGATAAAGGGCATATAGTTGGTTAGTAGGAAAACCTTGCAAATATAGGGTCATTGCGCCAAAACAAAATATTTTCGCAATATTTACTGCCAATTTTGTTTAATATGTCCCCACATGAGCCTTGTTTGCTGCATCTTAGTTTAAAGTGGCTTGGTCACACTGTCAACATATGCAAAGATCCCATAAAGTGGCATGCACCTTGGTGTGCAGTGGTCTGGGGGGGAAAGTAAACAAAGATAAACTTACTTGCAGCTCTCCCTTGAAGGTCCACATACAGTACCTTCTTTGTCTTATGATATTTTTGATAACTTTGGAATATTTGGCCAGTAAGCTTGAATGACTATGAGCATTGTTATAGGGCTTAGTTCAAACAAATTGCTGCAGTAAACTAAGCAGCTGCTCACAGTCTATGCAAACTATAGCTATTTTACGAATAGTAAAAAAAAAAAGTATGAATTGATGGGTCAACTGTTTCTGAATTACTGGAATGACCAGTTCTGCTGCCAACACACTACAGACAACTTCTCTAATTAAAACTTCAGGTGACCTGTGAATGTCTTATTGCACACTTTATATGTTGAGTCACAAATTTACCATTTGGCTATTTGAATTAACAATCAGATGTGCAAATAAAATAGCTACAACATTGATATGTGATGTGTATGTGACTTACTGGCTGCCATGAAACTCTATCTTTGTTACAAAAGTAACACTGTATCATTGTAAATACAATTGTTCTATATTCCCCCCCCCCTATATATATATATATATATATATATATATATATATATATATATATATATATATATATATATATATATATATATATATATAAAAAAAATTATCCGAACAACCAAAATGTAAAAATCTTCAACTATACCAGTGAGCATGCATTCGCCCGGTTGCAATGTTTAATGTGCAGGCCATAAATCATAGCTTCATGCGCCAGTCATGCAACAGCTTATGTCTTTACGGCAGTGGTAATGTTGGAAGGATAATGAAGAAGAAAGGGGAAAAAAAAATTGTACAAAAGCTTCATTGTTTCAAGACATGCCACAGATGCTCAATCGGATTTAGACCAAGGCAACAGCTTGAACTCGGTCATATTCCTCAACAATGTTTACAGGGTGGCAGTGTGCATTATCCTGCTGAAAGAGGCCACTGCCATCAGTGAACACATGAAGGTGTGTACGTGGTCTGTAACAATCTCTAGGTAGGTGGTATGTGTCAAAGTAACAGCTACATGAATGCCACGTTTCCGGTAGAACATTCCTGAGGCATAATACTGCATCCACCAGCCTGCCTTCTGCAAATGGTGAATGCTGCTGCCATCTCTTCACCAGGTAAACCACACACATACACCCCACCATCCATCCGATCTACAAGAAAGGGTAATTCACCAGACCAGGCAACCTTCTGCCATTGCTCCATGGTCCAGTTCTGTTGCTCATGTTCCTATTGAAGATGCTTTCGGTGGTGGAAAGTGCTCATTATGAGTACTATGACCGCTCTGTAGCTATGCAGCCCCATATGTAGCAAACTGTGAGGCACTGCATGTTCTGACACCTTTCTGTCATGGCCAGCATAAAGTTTTTCAAAAATTTGAGTAATTGGACCAGACAGACTAGCCTTGGCTCTCCTAGTGCCTCAATGAGCCTTGTGCACCTATGACCCTGACGCTGGTTCACAGGTTATCCTCCCTTGTATCACTTTTGGAAGGTACTAACTGTCACGTATTCATCCGCACATAAAAATGTGCTTAATGGCATTTACTGTCCTGACAGGAAAAGTTGTGCCGAGCAACATTACCGTCCTGACAGGAAAAGTTGTGCCGAGCAGCAATCATGCACATGGAAACCTGGTAATTACTTTTGAGGACAAAGGCCAGTTACAGCCAATCAGATCCATGGGAGGGGTATTTAAACCCAATTCTCCTCTTGCTCATTGCCCTGTTGTGGTTTCATGCCTATGGTTATCCGAGAGTGCGTTCCTGATCTTGATTTTCTGGTATTTGACTTTGGCTTTGTTTTGACTTCCCTGATATCTGGTATCCTTGACTTTTGGCATTCCCTCATCTTTGTGTCTGATTCTGTGTCCCTGACCTCGGCAAGTATTTTGACTATTCTTGGAGACGTTAAGTCTGGCCATTCTAAGGTCAGGTTATACGTTATCCTTAGTCCTAGGTGCGATACAGTACTGCGTGCTGGTTCAATTTGTAATCCTGACACTAACCAATGCATAATGCGATCACCCCACATATCTTGCTATTTTGGAGATGCTTTGACCCAGTTGTCTAGCCATCATTTGGCCCTTGTCAAAATCATTCAGGTCTTGTCACATGCCCATTTTCCCTGCTTCCAACACATGAAATTTAAGAACTGACTGTTCATTTGCTACATAATATATCCCACCCCTTCACAGGTGCCATTGTAACAATATAATCAATGTTATTCACTTCACTTGTCAGTGCTTTTAATGTGTTGGCTGATCAGTCTCCTTTGGGGACCTTTTGCCTTTTTCAGCTGGCGCCCAGACCCAGCAGCGGAGGCCGTGGACACTTTCCTGCAAGAATGGCAAGGGTCTCTTCCGCTTGCCATGCTCCTCAGGTTCGCCACCAAGAGGCAGAGGTCCTCCTAACCCCATTTTGGGGACACAGTCATGGTTCCCACAACTTCTGGAGATGGCGGTGGATTTACCCAGGCTGTTGCCGGCCCGTCCGGATCTACTTCGGGACCCGTCCGAACGTTACCATCCACTCCTCCTAGACGGATCTCCCTTGATGGCTTGGCAGATTTCATGGGTGCTTGGAGTTTTGGATGCAACTCTACGTCTCCTGGCGGATGCATGGGCTCCCTTAACTCAATGATCACATTGGTCAGCTTGGCAAGCTGGGGCTGGCGCCTGGCTAGGTACATGGATCCTGTTTCAGCACCTGTGACTGCGATTCTTTAGTTTCTCTTTTTGAACCGGACGATTAATTTGTATAGATCTGCCATTTCCTCGGCCCACCAAGGTTTTGAGGGTTGCCCGGCCGGACAGCATCCCTTAGTGTGCCGCCTACTGCGTGGCTTCAGTCTCTCTCATCCGCCCAGACCACGGTATTTAATCGCTTGGGATGTTTTTGTGTTATTGTTGTTTCGTTCATGGACTTCTAATGCGGCTCTTTCCCTGCACCAATTGTCGGCCAAGCTGGTCGCTTTTTCCTGACTCATCTCTTGCGAGAGGGTGTCGGATATACATGACTTGTATTTTGACGCACATTCCTACATGCTCGAGAGGGTGACTTTTAATATATGCAGGTGCCCTTAGACTTCGATTAGGTCGGGTCGTATCAGGATTTTCATTCGGCCCCGGCATTGTGACATCATTCGTAATCAACTCCTCATCTCTTTCTATTCCTTTTGTCATCCGTTCTCCCCGGTGACGAGCATCACATTGGCTCTTTGGATAAAAGTGGGCATGGACACATCAGTGTTTGGCGCCCATTCGGTCAGGGGTGCGTATGCTTCGTCGGCCGCTTGGTTGAAGGATCTGACGAGGACGGCGGATTGGTCACAGGAATCTACTTTCCACAAATGTTATTTATAACCGGTGACATGTTTTTTGTGATTGTCAGTAAGCTTTGAACTTGCAATATGAGCATCTGTGTCTTATAATAAAATCAGATGATTTTGCGATTATATGACAGAAAGTCATGATGTTATTAAAGACAAGGAGATGATTATTTTCCCACCCTGTATATGTTTATATTCAAGGTTTCTAGATTTGTTTGCATTTTTCCCCCGTGTTCTGTTCGTTTTTTGTTATGTATTGCACAGATGGTTTGGTTAACTCTACAATTAGCTCGAGTTTAAAACGCTGTTTTCGTTAGTGGTTTTGTTACTGGGGTCTATTAATTTCTTACCTTAATATTGGTTTCAACTACCGAAGTAACAGTGGGGCTCCTGTACCTTTGTGATTTCACAGCTTGATCCGGAGTCGCTCCATGGATTTCCTCAAGTTTACCCTATGAAAGAATCTGTTCGTTTGGCACTGTCCTGTTGCTGTTCTGGAATTGTTACTGCTTGTAGGACTTTTGCCTGGTTTTACTCTTCCTGAATTTAGCTGCAATGTTCTTTTGCGGTTGAACTGATTCTTCTATTCCTGTTCCCTGGTTGATATATCGGTGTTTGCATCTTCAAAGAAAGAGAAAGATGTAGGGGAGGCACTTACTATTATACTCGGACTTGGTCTGGGAGTGGTTTATGTTACCATATATACCATATTTTTCTTACTGTTTTTGTATTCTTTGCTGCTATTGGTGGACCGTTAAGAAAGGGATATGCAATACTCACCTGTGTTTTTAATAAAATCATGACTTTTCGTCATGTAATAGCAAAATCATGTAATTATAGCAATCTACTAAATTCCACAGGCCAGAAAAGGCTTAATTGTTTGGTGTAAATTGCCTATGATAATAAATGCTTTTGATATCAAGATATATAAAACACATTAGAATTTTACAAGTCTCTTTAATCTGTTTATAAAACTTTTTTTTAAAAAAAGTAAAAAAAAAAAATATGTTATTCTGAGCACAATGTAAGATTAGAGAACACAAACCTAAACCAGCAGTTAATATGGAGTTTAATGTTTAGTATTTTAAGGACTGTTTTCAAAACAAACATATAAAGCACATATATACACACACTTCACATTCACCAGGAGTAACCATTTGCATATTACAGAATCAAGTAAACTGGGTTCCAGCGTGATTATCTTGCTTGCAAAATAAAGTATAAACAGAACTTTGCACTTTTCTAATCCACTATTAAAAAAAAAGTAAAACTAAAATAAAAACCACAAAGCACCAAAGACCTCTATAACCGATTTCTTCACATATTCCACATGTTTCTGATCACATATAGAATATTAAATTAAGAATTTTCCACCATATTATACAGTAATTATGGTAACCCCTTCAGGATTAAAATTAATTGATTCTTTGCAGTTTTATTTCAATAAAAATACCTTCCACTTTGCTATGCAGCAAAAGATTTAACCTAATATTACTCCATTGACACGCCACTCAATGCCATTAGCACAAATAGCCTATACCTCATTTTCCACCGATTTAAGAGCTTTACAAAATTCATATCGCACTAGTACGTAAATGCATTTAAATGTAAGTTGCAAAAATTTTACTCAAGCAAAGGAATCGTACCCAGCTCCTCTATTATTCAATGATAGGCAAAACTCAGTTCTTTGTATTTTGCTGTTGTTGAAGACTAGAATAGACATTGCTCTATTATTAATGACGTCTTAATAAATCTCCACTTTATTTTTTTACATTTATAATATAGTTGCAGCTTTAGTTTCTGGAGAGACATAAGGCACTTTTGTTAAAATTGTCATTCGGACGCTAGCACACACGGACATCTTCCTTGACAAGTCAGGCTAAAAGAAAACAAGTATATCTTTAAGGAAAAACTTGTTGTGTAAAGTAGCCCAATGTTGTCCGTACATAGTCTCTGATAGTATGCCTAGTGCAGCAATCTTTACACTTACAGAGTCTTCCCTCTTCCTTCTGACACTACATCTTCTGGTTTGGCACGCATGTACCACTCAACCCAGGAACCGTCATAAATGGCAGTATCTTCCTTGCCACAGAGGTAGGCAGCTAGAGCGATGTGGCAGGCTGTGACTCCAGATCCACAAGAAGCAACAAGAGGACTGGAGAGATCTATGCCCTTTTCTTGGAACAGATGCTTCATCTCATCAGTTGACTTATAGCCATATACATTTAGCAAGCTGGGAAAAGGTAGGTTCACTGCGCCAGGGATATGGCCGGGTTCAATCCCTGAGACAAAGAGTAAAAAACATAGGTTATAAAAGTAGATGAACACCAAGTCGTCTCTAGTCTTACTACTGACAATTCTATGGTGCTTATTTGCAAAACCAGGATTTGTGGGAAAAATTACAAAGGAACTGAAAATTTCAGGCCAAAACAGCAGAACTGAAAAAGGGAATTCAGGAATGTTCCCAATTTGGCAACTACCTTGTCAATTCTCTACAATTCCATTTGCTTTTTGAGGTGTAGCTGAGAAAGCATCTCAGCACTACGTGAAATGCATCCAGGTACATTTGCTACATAAGCCATCTCATTTAATGTATGTAGATGCTTCTTTTCACCAAGATGGAATAAATCTATATTCCACTTTCATGTCAAATTTAGCTTGAGTGTGTATATCATTTAATGTGCTGCTTAATTACCATGGATAGTTGAAGGTATACCCAGACGTTTTATACATTCTTTTTTCCACCTTTTATACACCTCCGTTGGAAAGGTATTTCAATCTACACGCTTTGCTCAAAATGTATTAATTTGGAATATTAGCACAACAAAAGTGACCATACTACTACTCATGAAGCGTATTGGTGTGTAGCCACCATTGCAGTATAGATTAACAGACAACAGAGAGGATACAAAATAGTTATCTGATTTGTGATAACGACGCAAAGAATTCAGGAGCTTTAATGAACAAAGCTCAAGAAAAGAAAAAAAAAGGGGGAAATAAAAGAACGTGAGTAGCTGTATTGCTAATGCTGTAAAGCTGGTCAGTCTAGTGAAAAGACTGGAAACAGCTCCAAGCAAATGTGGTAAAAACAGTAACAAGAGAAAAAAAAAAGGTCACGTAAGTTCCATGCACAATTATCTTGAAGGTAAAAGAAATGGTGAAGAGGGCCTCTATAACATGCCACTGTTGAAGCAGTTCAACGTGTTGTCTAAGTAACTGAGAAAAACATCTAAAAGGAGGAGCATGTGTAAAGTAGCCAGTAACAGAAAAAAAAAAACAGAATCTTGGAAACTAACTCCACCGTCTTCCCCACAGGCAATCTGGCTTGGGCCAAACCCAACTCAAAAATCTGAATAAGTTAATTGGAAATCTAAGTATTTTTAACCTTTTGATTCTCCTATTGAGTTTTACTTGGTCTGAAGGAGGAAGTATCTCTAGTGTATGTCAGGAAGACAGCCACTAAAGGTGTGTTTGGTCTTGTAATAAACACATTGCAGTTCCTACATAGAAAAGTGGTATCTGATGTCCCTTTAAGATTGTTTGCATAATTTATTCCTGCATATGTGCGTTGCTAATGTCAAATAAAAGCACTGAAACAATTGTGCAAGTTGTTTTGGTCCTCTATAATGTAAGAAGTATGCAGGAATGTCTGCACTTTCTGTGCAAAGATCCATAATACCCACCTTCCCTGGGCTCTGGTTCCAAACCCCGAAATCTTCCATTTACTCTAGCATCTACCAATTGAAACGTCTTCTTTTCCATATTCTCCACCATCTCTTCATGTCCCACAACTTGAGATGCATTGAGCTTTGCTTGAAACTCTACTGGTTTTGGACGTGGCTCTTTCCCAGATTTCAACGGGTATCCTTCTTTCATCCAGGCCTTTAGGCCACCATCCAATACAGATACCTGGGGATGTCCAAAGACTCTAAACATCCACCAAAGTCGGGGGGCACTATAAGAACCAAAGTCACTTGCATCATAGACCACCACATGGTTGTTGTTGGAAATCCCCAGGTGTCCTGCATATTCCGAAAACTTTTCCTCACTGGGCAGCATATGGTCATAAGGAGATGTACGATCACTGCAGGCATCTATGTCAAAGAAGTAGGAGCCAGGTATATGACGCTCTTTGTATTCTCTCCACCCATCACGGCCACTTTTTGGGAGATGCCATGAAGCATCCAGAACACGGAGACTTCCACTCAAGGCAGATCCAGGACGCAGCGAATCAAACAACCAACGAGGAGATACCAATGCACGGGAGATAAGCTGGTGAGTCATGGCTAAGGTTCTCTAAAAGGTAAAAAAAACAAATAAAGCAAAAATACAATAAGTTATAATTTAAAAAAAAATATAGCTCAATAAACAAATCTATCTACATATTATAAAATCTATATATCACAATGAGTAAATGTGGTAAAACACATGAGCTTTCAGGTTTTAGTGAAATGTAATTTTATATGGATAAATAAAATAATACCCATCATCTAATGCAATAGTATTGACAAAAATCCTGACTTTTCCCAAAAATGTTTAAAGATTTTAATCAGAATTTTTACAAATTCTAATTACACACCATAAAAGGAACTAGAAATGCAAATATACTAAGCTACCTAAACCTGATTAAACAGCTTAAACACTAAAGTGACCTTGTCTGCAAAATGTGTGACATGCTTTGTTGAGTATATTACTTTGGTAATAAACGGTCATTTACTTTGCAATTCAACATAATTTCAGTGTTTACTAAACAGCCAAAGTGGATTACTCATTGAACAGGGAATTGTAGTAAAAATGAGTTGCAAAGCACAGGCTAAAATAGATTAAAATAAACAAATCATATTTAAAATACCCAATCTCTAAAACACACACCACGCCAGCCGTGGCACGGGAGAAAAGGTGAGTTGACTTTTTATTGAGATCAGAGGGGGTATGACCAGGGCCGGACTGGCCCACCGGGATATTTCCCGGTGGGCCGTCGGCACCTGGGGCCGGGCAGACACCTGGGTCTGCTGGCGGCCGCTGGGGGAGGTCTTCTGGCGGCCACTGGGGGAGCTGTTCTGTCTCCCAGCGTGCAGCTTAATGAGAGCGCGGCCGGAATATGACGTCATATTCCGGCCGCGGTCTCATGCAGCAGCGCGCAAGGGCGGGAGAGCAGAGCCAGCGCAGCGGCCACCAGCAGACCTCCCCCAGCGGCCGCCAGCACAGACAGCCGTCTGCACTGCACGACGCCCTGGCAGGTAGTAGTAATGTGTGTTATGGTGTGTCTGTCTGTTATGATGTGTCTGTCTGTCTCATGGTGTGTGTGTATGTCTGTCCGTCATGGTGTGTGAGTATGTCTGTCTGTCTGTCATGGGGTGTGTTTGTGTGTCATGGTGTGCGTGTGAGTCTGTCTGTGTCATGGTGTGTGTCATGGTATATGGGTGTGTGTCTGTCTGTGTCATGGTGTGTGTGTGGGTCTGCATGTGTCATGGTCTCTCATGGTGTGTATCTGTCATGGTATATGTGTGTTTGTGTCTGTCATGGTGTATGTGTGTTTAACAATAGTGTTTTTGCTCACCTTTTTTTCCCCCCACGCAGCGTGCTCGTCTTCCCTCGACTGGCCCTGCCTCTATGGCTAAGATCATCAAGCTTGATGATCTCAGCCAATCCAATGCTTTGCCATAGGATTGGCTGCAAAATGCTACACCAATCAGCATCTCCTCATAGAGATGCATTGAATCAATGTATCTCTATGGGGAACGTTCAGCGCCTCCAGAGTGTGGAGGCCCTGAATGTAGGTGCACTGACACAGGAAGCACCTCTAGTGACAGTCACTAGCGGTGTCACTTTGAAGCAATGTAAACACTGCCTTTTCTCTAAAATGTCAGTGTTTACGTTGAAAAACCTGTAGGGACATGCTATAGACACCAGTACCACTCCATTAAGCTGTGTGTGTGTCTGCTAGTGAGTGAGCTTGCTTGCATGTGTGTGCCTGCTAGTGAGTGAGCTTGTGTTTTTATGTCAATGAGCTGATGTATATCAGTGATATTGTTTGTCTATGAGGCTGTGTATCAATGAGCTTGTGTGTGTCATTGAGATTTCAGTGTCTGCATGTGAGTATGCTTACTGTATAATTAAACGTTTTACTCTGAAAGGGCCAATATTTTATATTAGAAAAAGCAATATATATTACTCAATCATCTGGGGTGGTAAGACATAGCCTTACATATTACATGCGACAATATATGGCGCAGTGATTTATGGGGCTGGCATAACGTTTTTTTCCAGGGCTGCTTTGTATCCCAAGTCCAGCCCTGGGTATGACACCTAAATAGTGAGACACTATGGTGTCAGGAATACATGGTTGTGTTCCTGACACTATTGTGTTCATTTAAGTAAACTACAGCACAGTTCTGTTCAGGCTGAACCCAGCCCGCAAATTTGCATGTACATAGAATATGAACTTTATATTATGGCTAAAAACTATTGTAATAACCACACCAAATAATTAACCAGAGGAGATGGCAATAAAAAAAAAAAAAAGCTTTTTAAAGTTCACCCTCAGACTGCCAACTATTGTCTGATAATAGTAAGTACTGCAAGGGAATGCGAGCTGGAGGCACCTGGTCTCTCACCAGGGTCTAAACCAGGTGTGCCCAAAGGGCAGATTCCCCAGATGTTTTAAAACTACATCTTCATAATGCTTTGCTATTCTAAAGGCATTCCAAAGACATGCAAAGCATCTTCAGAGTTGTAGTTCTACTGCACCTGGGGACCTACATTTTGGACACCCCTGGTCTAACCTATACACATAACCCAGAATTGACATAACCACCACATTTCCTTGTTTGACTTCTTGCTGATGTATAGTAGATGGGATGTGAAGCGTTGCCCTGTAGTAGGCAGAAATCAATATTACAGGTGTGTAACCCCACAAATTCATTCAGGAAATATACCAAAGGAACTGGCCTGCTCAGTCAATAGGTTTCGTTCTTCATGTATATAAAATACAGTATTATATGTAACTACCAGTACTATGTGTAACTACATGTTAAACAATTTGCCAAAAAAAAAAAATTGTACCTGTGACAATGTGTGATATTTGCATCTTATAATAAAAATGAAACATTAAAATTATATATATATTACATACTGCAGGGCAGCACTTTTCATGCCCTGCCCATAGGAAACTCCAAAACTAATTCCTATCCTGGAAACCAGGCAAGCCTAACACTTTGTACAGCACTGCATAATATGTTGGCGCTATGGGCTCACACCCAATAAGTGTCTGTATTTGTGACTGCCCTGCTGGTACTTACATGCCACCTGCTGCAGGTCACACTGCTCAGGGAGCCCTGTCTGGCTGTCACTGCTCCCTCTTACACCCTTCACACCTTTTACTCTGTACTTTACCTGTCCTCTCTGTATCTCCTGCCAGCGCCGCTCCTGCAATCCCTCTCCCCCCCTCCCGGCAGTAATCACACTAATCACACTACATCCGGATCAGCACGGCGTCCCAGGCAAGTCGCCAGGACTGCGGCCGCTACCATTCGAGGATAGTAAAATGGGTGGGTGCACTAGCAGAAAGCTACTCAGTAGGTGAACGGATTTCTGCGTTAACCAGCCACCGGGAGACTATGCTTGTGTGGAAACTGCTCGAGCACCACGAAGGGAGGCGCATGGCAGTAACATTACAAATCACCCCCTAAAGGGTGCATTGGTATGACCCAAATTAGGCCGTGTATCCTGACCCAGTGAACTCAATCTGTGTGACTAGCAGAGTTCTAAACACTAAAGACTGCACCGCCAACTGAAAGCATTTATATACTGTGTTCAGAGTTGAGCAGAGAGTTACTCTTATACTAAAGTACTTTGCCGTTTACTGGAAGCCATGAAGGTCACTGTAGCTATCCTCCCTAATATAAGTGGATTTATAGGTGGAGCATTGTTGTACTCCAGTGTTGTGAGCTCTCATGCTTTAGTTTTAAAAAGGCAAACTTGTAACAATTTATTGTAGGGCTGCCATTGCAAAAATAAATTCTGGAAAACAGTAATTTTGGAAAATTATGGTGTGGGTGGGATGGAAAGATTGTTAAGGACCAAGACTTGATATGTGACATAACCAAGCCCCTTTTGGCACATTTGTCATGTTGCCATTCTACACAATTTCATCCTTTCTATTATTTTTTAATGGCAAAATCAGAAGTATTTTTATACCCCGTGTTTATGCATAACATAAAACTAACTAGGAATAAGATTTTTTATTTTTATTGTTTTTAATGGGGGAAAAAACAAACAAACTTTTTTCCTCTGTTTTATATTTCACATTTTCTACACACAAAGTACAACGAAAGAAAACACACTCAAAATAGATTCACTAATTAGTGCCGATTTGTTAAAAATGCCTAATTAGCTTAGAATTTCAATACATTTTTAGAAGTTATAAAAACAAATATTGAGTAAATTACAGTTTGAAACTTACATTTTTTTTTATATATGTATTTTTATTTTATTATTATGGTTTTTAAAAGTATTTGAAAAATTTAACACAAAAATGTACACATTCAAAACTGCTACACAAAAGTATATATTTGTAGAAATTACATCCCCAAGGCTATATAACTAAGCATTTTCACACTTTTTATTTTACAATTTTAGCATGAACCTCGGTCAGAATGTTTTGTTTTTGATTTGAGTGTTTGATTTCTGGGAAATTCACAGACCACAGGTGTCCCAGTGCTGTAAACATCCCAGATGTGTAGTATGATACTGTTTTTGAGTACAGTGATACCCCACGTTTATACCTATTAACCAACTCATCTAATCCTTCATCAGACAGTGCAGCTCACACAGTACAGAGTGCTCTGTACTGTGTGATTACAGCATGAGAGAGAGATCTCCCTCTCATGCTGTAGTTCCTGCACACTGATCGCAGCTGGTAATCCTGCGCCTCCGCCAGCTCTCTCTGCGATGGCCAATCCTATGCTCAACATAGAGGAGCATTAGAGACTGATGCACATGCATGCCAAATACCACATGTATAACTGCAGATATTGCAAGCTGTTTTTAGATATACACTCAATGACAAAAACACACAATAAATTCATGTGTGTTTTCAATTAGGGTATATCTACTTATTTGTGATTATTTTTCATTTGGGCAGTGGAGTGCCCTTTTAAGTGGTTAAAGTCTCAGAGGACAACAAACAAATTAACACATACTCCCTTTGACCCCTTAAGAACACAGCTTCAAAAGCTGGTCTTGCACTTAAGGACACAAGTAATTTAAATTTTTCTTGCTGTTTGCTTTCAACTGTAATTTGCATGTTACTATTTAATTGCACCAACACATATTAACACATATTATATACCATTTTTTTCTGCCTTTTTGACACACACTTGGAGATGTTACTGTATATTTTGCAATCCTTATGTGTGCTACGGCCAGGGCCGGTGCAAAGAATTTTGGGTACATAGGCGAAGATCCATTTTTCCTCCCCCCCCAAAAAACATATTCGCCCATGTGCCTCTTAACCTCCCTTTTGTGTTTCTTATCCCGTCTTTTAAATATCTGACTCCCTTTAGTGTATTTTATCTCCTATTTTTGCCTTTGTGTGTCTCCTATCTCTCCTCTTTGTGTCTTTTATTCTTCCCAGCTCCTTTGTGTGTCTCTTTCCTTCTCAAGCCCCGCTGTGTGTTTCTTTTACATCCAGCCCCTCTCCCTGTCCCTTAATGGTCCCCTCCCTTCTCTGACCCTTACTGTTCCTCTCCCTTCTCTCCTCCTTTCCCTGTTCCTCAGTGTTCCTTTCCCTTCCCCCCTCCTTTCCCTGTCCCTTAGTGTTCCTCTCCCCTCCCCCTCTGTTCCCTGTCGCTTAGTGTTCCTCTCCCCCCTCCCTCCTTTTCCTGTACCTTAGGGTATCTCTCCCCTCTTCTCCATGTCCCTTGGTGCGCCACCCACCCCCATAGTGGTCCCCTCCCCTTCCTGGTGTGCCTCCTACCTTTCTTGTAGCGTGGCTGAGCGGAGCGAATCCCGGTACAGTGAGCTTTTCCTGTCAGTCCTGCTAGGTACAGGAAACAGAAGTTCCTGTACCACGGTACACTCCGCTTGGCCACGCTACAGTCAGGGGTGTAGAAACACTGACAGTCACACACACTCAATGACAAACACACAGACATCTCTGACAGCCAGACTCACTTATCTGACACTCATTCATTGACAGACACACAAACACTGACAGACTCATTGACAAACACACACACACACAAACTCACAGACACTGACAGACACATGTACTCACATGCACACACGCACATACTGACAGACACACTCACTCACACACACACACTGACAGAACCACACACACACACACACACATATACAGACACACACACACTGACAGACACACTACACACACACACTGACAGACACACTCACTCACATACTGACAGACACACATACACACACACACTGACTGACAGACAGACACTCACACACACACTCACACACACTGACAGACACACATACACACACTCTGACAGACACACTCACTCACACACTGACAGACACACTCACACACTGACAGACACACATACACACACTGACTGACAGACACACTCACTCACATGCACACACACACTAACAGTAATTAATCATCTAAATTAAATTAAAATTTCCCACCCAGCCTCCCTACCTGGAGAGCTGGCGTGGGTATCTCATTGGTGGTCCAGTGGGGCTGCTGGGAGGCGTGCGGCTGAACTGGATGCCGAGGTGGCGAGGGAGCTCTGATCTCTCTGATCTGTTCCCTCGCAGGCTGTTTACTGATGCCGCGGGAGCCGGAATATGACGTCATCAGTAAGCAGCCTGCGAGGGAGCAGATCAGAGAAATCAGAGCTCCCTCGCCACCTCGGCATCCAGTTCAGCCGCACACAGCGTCGGGGATCCAGGAGGTGACCTGGCAGGAGGGAGCACTTCCCTCCTGGAATTTTGCGCCCCCAGAGCCGGTGCGCCCTAAGGCGGCCGCCTGTGCCGCCTTATGGACGCGCCGGCCCTGGCTACGGCAGTATAACACCTAATATGTTGCTCAGCTATGTCGTCTTAGTACAATACCCCGATGTGTACCTTTTTCAGGGATATGTGGATGTTGAAGGGGCACATTGGAGACCAAGCCATATCAGTTTTTTTCAAAAAAACTTTTCAAAAAAAATTATGTGCAATTTTAGAGCATTTTAGCAGGCTGATAATTCAAACTACCCCACAAAGGCCTACCATTTCTTAAAGAAGGTATTAATCACTGTACTAACCTGCATCAAACTCTGAGGCACTGTCTGTCAACTCTGTCTGCTGATAGAATTTAGAACTTCCTAAGCATTTTTAACTTTTTACACAAAACTTTAACTTAATAATGTTATAAAAATTTTTTTTCTATTTTTCTTTTTTTTTTAATCTTTTCACTCCTAATGTAACACTAAACTCCCCAATTTCCCATGAATTACCACGCACCCTAATTAACTAAATAAAATTATAAAAATATAAAAATAATCAGAGTCAGAGGTCAGAATTGCAGCAGCCTCCCTGGCCCTAAACATCGTCAGCAACTTTAAAATGGAAGAACTAAATAATTATAAAACAGCGATCACATGTGCTGGGACAGCATTATTGTTAGTTGCTGGTCTGCCTGTGACATCGAGGCACCCAGCAACAGCGTTAACTCCATGATCGCCGCGATCACGGTTGATCTGGCGTTAACATTAGTAAATTATGTAAATTTTCCGTCAAGGGTCCTTAACGTAAGGACAAGCTTGACGGAAAATTTCCGTCTTTGGTCGGGAAGGGGTTAAATGTACATGCATGTTTGGACACATTTTGAACATTATCATCCAATACTCCCCTCCCTCGCCTCTTGTCAACTCCCTATTACAAACTTTAAATTGTAAGATCATGGGCTATCTAGGTAAGAACATTTCCTCCCCACCCCAAACACCCAGCAGATGCCTTGTTAGCTTCTTTCATGGGGGGCCCAAAGAGCTGGCCTGCTGGTCCCCTGTGACGTAGAAATGCTGATCTGTGTGTTCTCCATGCTTTGCTCCCTCTGCATGCAAGGAAGCATAGGAATGAGATTACAGCATCCTTGCTGCCTCCACTGCCCACCCGCCTGAACGCTAGCCCATCTGCTCTTAGCTTCACTAGACCCCTGTGACATCAGTCTCACTGGAGCCCAGGGAGAAAATCCACTTCAGGTCTCCAAATGGTAGGGAGGCTGGGTGGATTTAAATTAAAATTTAAAAAATAGTGTGTGAGTATGTCAGTATCAGCATAGGCATGCGCTCGGGGTGTGCCGGGTGTGCCTGGGCACACCCTAATCCCCGCAGCACGCCTAGGCAGGGCCGGATTAACATAGGGGCTGATGGAGCTGCAGCTCCAGGCCCAGGCCCAGGCCCATGGAATAGGCCCATTGATTTTATAAAAATAAAAAAAATTTTTTTTTTTTTTTTTTACATTTTTTTTTTCCCACACACTACTCTTAGGGATTCCACCTGGCTTTTATTTTATTGGCACAGCCAGTATTTGAGGCTTCCTGGCTGGTGCCAATATTACAGTGATACTGGCAATACAAATGCTGGTATTTTTCTCAGTAAAAAGAGATTACTATGCAATACCAGCACTGGCCAGTAGGGGTCACTGTGTGTGGAGACAGGCAGGGATAGGAAGTTGCAGCATATCTCTCCCTGCCTATCTATACTCACTGATCTGCAGGGGTGCAGCTACAGAGAGTCCAGACAGCAACTCCCACTCTGCAGAGACAGCCTACAGCTCAGGGAAGTAAGGGATGGGGGGAAGGCTGCAAGGAGACATGGAGACACTGAGACACTAATGGGCACTGGGAGACATTATGACACAGACACATGGGGACACAGTGTCCCCATGTCTCTCAGTGCCCCCAGTCTGCCAGTGTCTCACTGTCCCCATGTCTCCCAGTGCCTCAAGTGTCTCAATGTCCCCATGTCTCCAAGCTAGTGTCCCTAGTGTCTGTGGCCCTGGTGTCTCCTTGTCCCCATGTCTCCCAGTGCCCCCATGTCTCAATGTCCCCATGTCCCCAGCCAGTGTCTCTAGTGTCTGTGTCCCTGGTGTCTGTGTCCCCATGTCTTCAAGTGTCCCCTATTTTCCCAGTGTCCCCATGCGTCCCAGCCAGAGTCCCCTAGTCTCCCAGTGTCACTGGTGTCTCCGTGTCC